CCCCAAAACCCCAAAACCCCAAAACCCCAAAACCCCTTAAATAGATAAATTAATTGCTAGGATAATAATAATTCAAAATGGAAACAAAAAGCTTCTCAGACCAAAAACTTTCATTAGATAGGAAGGAAGAGCTATTAGAAGATGCTAGAAATTGGAAACCAACTCAGGAGACAGGAGACTATAGGAAAGAAGGTGCCAGTAGTGGAGGAGGCTTTGCTCTCAGAGATAAAGCACTTGTCAGCAAACTTCGTAGTGCTGGATGGGAGGCTATTAAAAGGATTGGTAAACAACTCCTTGGAGGTAGACTTAACCTTATTGGGATTGCTTTTCCATTCAAATGTGCTGCTGATTATTCAATGCTTGAAGCATTAGCTGGAATGGCAAGGGTGAATCCTTACATTATGAATGCGGCTGCTCTAACTGAAGATCCAATTGAAAGAATTAAACTTTTGCTCACTGCTTCTGTTTCACATATGGAGGTTTGTAACACCTTTGAGAAGCCTTTGAATCCAGTTATGGGTGAAACATACCATGCTTATCTTGAGGATGGAACCCAGATCTTCTGTGAGCAAACCTGCCATCATCCTCCGATTTCTCACATTTTGATTGAAGGACCAGACAACCTTTATGAATTCTCAATGTACACTGGTTACAGTGCTAAAGCTGGATGGAACTCTGTTAAAGTAAATGTAATTGGAAACAAAACGATCAAATTCAAAGACGGTACTTCAATCACATGGAACAACATGGAAGACCAAATTAATAGCACTCTGTATGGAACTATGGTTAGACAAGTCATTGGCCGTCAAGATTATAAAGATGAGAAAAATCATATTACTGCCTACATTGAAACAGGTGCTAAGAAAGTGCAGGATTACTTGAAAGGAAATATCTGCCAGTATGGACAAGAAATATACACCATCAATGGAAACTACAATGGGTACCTTGAATTCAATGGAGAAAGGTATTGGGACATTAGAGAAACAAAAGTATTCGATATAATACCATCTCCTGCCTCATCCACTCTTCCTTCTGATTCTCGTTGCCGTATTGACCTCATTGCATGCAAAGCAGAAGACAAAGACAGTGATATCCCTCAAGATAAGAAAGATGAATTAGAAGATCTTCAGAGACACGACGCCAAGCTCAGGAAGGCTGTTGGAGATTATAGAGCTGAGAATCCAGGGGCGAAGTTCGTAGATATATCTCTTCTTAAAATTTAGTTCTTTTAGGCTTCACGCATCTTCAAAATCCTCTTGTCTAATTGTTTACAGTTATTTTTGTTTTTGGGTGTTACTCTCCCTTGTTTAAAAGGTGTTAGTTTTAGTTGACTTGTACTTTTACTTTGGAGGTAGATTTCAAAATAGAGGACTCCATTTTATCTAAATGCGTAATCATAAATACTCTATAAAAATTTGATTCAACATCGTCCTCCCCTTACGGGGTTTTGGGGTTTTGGGGTTTTGGGGTTTTGGGGTTTTGGGGTTTTGGGGTTTTGGGG